GGGATCGAACCTAGGACCTTCGGGTTATGAGCCCGACGAGCTACCGCTGCTCTATCTCGCGATGTTTGTGATGCAAATGTAAGGCAGAATTCCTTACACACCAAATCATTTTCAGAAATCGTTTAAAATTAATTATTTACCATTCAAATATCATCGTAGCAATCCTACTCATTCCATCCTTTATTACCATACTTTAGACATTCACAAGACTTCAGTGATCGGTTTTGAAATTGAAAATTGTCGGTACGAAAGCTGAGTTACCGATTTCGAAAACGGAAAAATATACGGGTAAAAAACAGCACATTTGCTATTACTGATAATAAGGACACCGGAACTGAAATAAACCAATAAGACATGACACCCAAATTAATATGCACACTTTTCATTTTGGCAATAGGCTTTAGCTGTACAGGACAAAATAAGTCTTTAGAAAATGAAGCGATTATTGAAAAATATCTGAACGGTTGTGCGTATAAAAATCATTATCTCATGCAAGGATGGGATGATTGTATTAAAGCAGGACTAAAAGAGGATTCCACTGTCGCTTTGCTCTGGCAACAAAGAGCTTTACCGCTCTGGAAAACGCACAAATATGAACTTGCGCTGGAATACTATAACAAAGCAGTGCTATATGATCGCAGAAACTATCTGGGCAGGAGAGGGTTTCTGAAATGTATTTTTCAGAAGAATTACCGGGATGCAATTGCAGATATGGAAACTGCCGAAAAAGAGTTCGGGTATGGCTATCAGAATGATCATTCCTATCGGTTCTACATCGCACTATGCCATTTGCAATTGAATGAATTTGAAAGAGCGGAACAGATACTGCAAAAAGAATTTGAAAAGGTAATTAAAGAAAGAGGAGCAGACTGGATTCATTTGGAACTCTTTTATATGGGCGTTGTCCAGTACGAATTGCGCAAATATGATAAGGCCATTTTGTATTTTGACAAAGCCTTGTTTATCTATAAAAATTTCTCTGATGCCCAATACTATAAGGGGCTTTGCCTGCTGCAAAAAGGAGAACGGGAACAAGCGAAAACCATCATGTTAGCAGCAAAATCCAATTCTGAAAAAGGTTATACCATCAATGAAGATGATTCATTTTACGAAACTTACCCTTACCAGGTGAACTGGTTTATGGCAAAATGGATGATACCGGACTATAAATGAGCCTTACGGGAAGCCAATGAGTGCAGGTGTTTACTTTATCATCAACAGGGTATAAGAAAAAGCAAAGAGGCATCCCAGAACCAGATCTGAATGATGCCTCTTTTGTAGCGAGACTAGGGATCGAACCTAGGACCTTCGGGTTATGAGCCCGACGAGCTACCGCTGCTCTATCTCGCGATGTTTGTAGTGCAAATGAAGGCCAGGATTCCTTACCCACCAAACTTTTGTTGAAAATCACTCATCATTAATTAATAACCATCCTGCTGGGCTCGCTTCAAACCCAGGCATAGAAGGCCACAACGCGCGGC